TAGATTTTTTCCTTCTTTTTTGCTGTTATGCAAGTCGTTTAATTTACTTCAGTAAACTTTCCCTTTGAAGTGACCAAACTTAATATCACTGTTTTTAATTAAGTGGCTGTTTAGAGTTTACAAAATAGAGGAAGTATTTTTAATAATAAGAGATGAATAACGAACGACTACAGGAAGTAGTATTCGTCTGTTACCAAGATATATTTTCAGTATGAAATCTTCGAAGTTATAATTGCCATGACCAGTGAAACATTCGACGGAGTAAGGTCGATATTTTTTTTCTTTCAATCGATTCTTCTCAATTCGAATATTCAGTTCAAAGCTGATTCCTTTTGGTTTATTCATTAAAAAGATAAACCATTTCAGAATTCTGATTTAAAAGAATAGATGGAAAAATTGACATCGATGAGGAAGATAATGGCTGATAGCGATTGTTGCCAACGGATGAGGTAGGTTTAATTGCATACAATTAATTACATGTATAACACTGTAATTTCAATTCTGAAATTTTTACTATACATTTCTTTATTTTTAGTTTTTTTTTTCAATAGTTGTAGATAGATTCATTTATCGTCCGGGTTACACTCTTCCCAGGTTTTTTTGAATTGGAGTAGAGGTTTAACCGCTGATTCCTGTTTAGAGTTGGGCTTCCGGTTCCTTCTAAAGTCTATTGCAACTCTATGCTTCTAACGTGTCCGCCTAAAATCTGAAATGCCTATTTAGTATTTATTCTCTATTTTTTCCTCAATAGGCGTAGATAGATTCACTTATTGTCCGGTTCATACTCCTCCAACTCTTTTTAAATAGGAGTAGAGGTTTATCGCTTGTTTCCTGTTCAGGAGTGAGTTTCCGGTTCCTTCTAAATTCTGCTTGAAATCTATGCTTCAAACGTTTCCTCCTAAACTCTGAAATGTATATTTTTATTGATATGTTTTTTTTTAAATTTTAGCTCAATAGGTGTAGATAAGTCCGCATGTCATGCGGATCACACTCCTCCCATGTCTTTTTATACCGTGTTTCCTGTTTCGGATTGGATTTCCGGTTCTTTCTAAAGTCTACTGCAACTCTATGCTTCTAATGTCTCCGCCTAAACACTTAAATTTATATTATTTATTTTTTCCTTAATAGCAGACGATAAGCTCGCTTATAAGCTCGCTTATCGTCTGCTTTATACTCTTTACGATCATTTGAACAGAAGTAGAAGTTTATCCGTGCTTTCCTGTCTAGAATTGGGCTTCCTGTACCTTCTAAAGTCTTTTCCTTCTCTTTCAATTCCAGTAGCCTCACTTAGTGGCGTTATCGATTTGCTTGTGGTGAAGTGATTAGAAAATGTGATGTCATTTTTTTTTTTTTGAGGAGGATACTTTCTTCAAGAAAGTTTTTTATAAACCCATATCCTCCTGGCATTAGTTTATACTGTTACCTTATTTTATTTTCATATAGTCTGTGTAAATAAGAACCACCTTGTCTACCAAGACGCTCACTCGGTGCTGCTGTTCAGGACTATAAAAGAACGGTAAAAGCTTCCTAGTCCTCTGTTCGTTCTAGAATACGACTGGTAGAAGTCTTGTCTATGTTGGAATTTTTGGGTACCCTGGTGTACTAGTGAGCCAGCCAGAATGAGCTGACTCATTTTATAGTTCACCAATAGAAGCGTTAACCAATATTCAATGCGACATGTATAAAGGCGGCCATGTTTTTTACCGGATATGCACTGCCAGCCTTTGAAATCGAAGAATGAGGAATGACGGAACAGCTGCTGGTGGTATTGGCGATATATTTAGATTCAGTAAAATATCTTCTGACTCGAAAGTATTAATCTTTAACGTTGTTTCATTGAACACATTACGTACTGCGCTGTATTCTATATTCATAGACTATGGTGAACATGGTCAGCAGTCTAAGTCTTCCATTCTAGGGGAATTTTATCATCCATCCGAGTGGTGCATCTCCCTTATGCAGGCATTCAGACACACACTACCCTTAATGATATAAATGTTATTCGTACTTTTTTCATCTATATATGTACACATGTGTGTGTTCTATCTCTTTTACGGATCATGTTATACGTTATATAAAAGTGCATGACAATTAATCCGCGTGTTGATATTTCTTCCTGAAAATGTTGCATACAAATTTCTCCGACAGAAATCAACCTCATCCACGTTCTATTACAAACCCCTAGACACGCACTACTCTACAGATCTAAACTATAAATTTGGAAAATGAAAGTTTCACTAAAATATACTGTGAAAATTGCCCGTTTTCCTATGAAATGTAAAAATATGAATTTAAATAAAATGGCTACAATATGTACAGGATGGTCTGAAAGTCTTGTCACCCATACATAATATACTTTTCTATTTCAGATGGCTGACACGTTCTCCTGCAGGTTGGAAGAAAGTCTGCTTGCAAGTGTATGGACGCATGATCATTTGTATTCTGGCAAGCGCATCGAGGATATGTGACATGATTTCATTGCAAGATTCGGCAAACTATCACCTCCGAAGTGGACGATAATGCGAGTGGAACATAAACTCCTCCTTTTTCTTTCTATGTGCCGTGTCCTTTCAGGACGTAAGCGATCATGGCTCTCTCCACTTCCCTCTACCCCTTGCAGCTCTGAACAAGTTCCGTCCATCTGCCACCTCCCCCAGACTACGTTTTGTCATTCACTTGCTTAAGCTCTCTAGGTATGTCATACGTTGTTTTCCCCTTGCCT